GCATAAACCTTAGACTTCAAAACCCCAAAGAAAAAAGTCCAACAGCGTTAAATCGCATGATCTGGGCGGCCAATTCTGATCACCAAAACGGGAAATTACATGACCAGGAAATGACTCATGCAGTAATTGAATTGTTTCTCGGGCTGTATGGTATGTGGCACCGTGGAGGCCATTTACCCGATATGCTATTCCGTACATAACCCTATACTGTATACTTTATGAATCAATAAAAAATTTACAATTTTTAATTATAAACCTGTGTCTCCTATCAAAATTACTTCTTGCGTGAATTTTGGGACACCCCTTACTCTAAATGCAAATGGATTAAATGTTCCAATCAAAAGTCATATGAAGGCCGAATGGATAACAAAATAAGACCTCCATAGATTTCACTTACATGTGGAATCTTAAAAACAAAATAAATGAACAAGCAGAACAGAAATGAACTCATAGATATAGAAAACATTTTGACAGTTACCAGATGGCAGGAGGGTTGAGGGAACAGGTAGAAAAGGTTGAAGGAATTAAAAAATACAAATTAGTAGTTACAGACTAGTCAGGAGATATAAAATCCCGCATAGGGAAGATAGTCAATACTACTGTAATAACTACGTATGGTATCAGATGGGTACTAGATATATCAGGGTGATCACTCATAAGTTATATAAATATCTAATCACTGGGTTATAAACCTGAAACTAATATAATATTGTATATCAACTGTAATTAAAGAATAAAATATTAAAGTAAAAGTTTAAAAAAGAAATAGAAAAATACTGTTTACAATCTCCAATTGGTTGAATCTGAAGATATGAAACCCAGGGATATGGAGAGCAGACTGTATACTTATTGGGAAAAAAATACACGAATAAGTAGACCCATGAAGTTCAAACCCATGTTGTTCAACAGCTAACTATATACAATGGAACATTTTTCAGCCAAAAAAAAAAAAAGGAAAGTCTGCCACTTTCGGCCATCATGGATGAAGCTTGACGGTATTATGTTAAGTGAAATAAGTCAGACAGAGAAAGACAAATAGCATATGATCTGACTTATATAACAGGGTATAGGGTATTAAAAACAAGCCTCACAGTTAACTAACTAACCAAGAATTAAAAATACTAACAAAACTTATAGTCTAAAATATTGATAGTTTCATATTAAACATGTTGCAGGCAGCAGCAGTTCCAGTTCCCCTTTTCGCCAACTTCGACCACAGGAGTGTAGCGGATGCCAATGGCTGGCCAGGCCTGCAACATCCTGTCCCCAGAAATAAAACCCGCAGAGAGAAAAGATGCCAGACACTGACACCCATGAAAGAGAGCATCGAAACCACCCGATGCGAAACTACGAATTACCAGAATTCCTTAGTTCCCTTCTTTCCACGATTCCCCCTATAAAAGCCCTTTTGCCTACCCTGAGATATTAAGATGGTTATTAAAGCATAAGCCTGCTATCTTCTCAGGATGTTGGCACCGAAATAAATCACTTTCCTTTCATCAGCACCTGGGTCATGTGTTTGGCTTCATGGTGTCAGGCAAAAGAACCTGAGGGTTGTTTGGGCTGGTTTCACTTACATGTGTAATCTAAAATATTTTTTTAATTTAAAAAAAAAAATACCAAGCTCATAGATACAGAGAACAGATAGGTGGTTGCCTGAGGCAGGGGATGAGGTTGGGCAAAATGCGTAAAGGGGGTCAAAAGGTACAAACTTCCAGTTATAAATAAGTCATGAGGATGTAATATACAGCATGGTGATTATAGTTAATGTTACTGAATTGTATATTTGAAAGTTGCTAAGAGAGTGGATCTTAAAAGTTCCCATCACAAGAAAAAAATGTTGTAACTGTGGTGACAGATGTTAACTAAATATTGTGGTGATCATTTCACAGTATATACAAATATAAAATCATTATGTTGTCGATGTGAAACTAATATAATGTTACATGTCAATTATATCCCAATTTTTAAAAAGGTGGTTCATTAATTTTAAATGCACTAATAATCTTAGCAACCTCTGATTACGTTAGTTTGTTAAAGCACAATAGGCTAAATCACTGCTACCATATTTGCCAAAAGCAAATCATATCAACATTAGTTGTTTATCAAGTACCCTAACTCAATGGCTCTCTACCTTTTTCTAGCAAACCTAGGGGCCATGAGACATATCCATTGGTAACAACTGATCTCCAACTGATTTCAAAAGATGGGTGGAGTCTGCAGCATTTGACAAATACTAACTGAGCTGGGCTGTGAGGATACCAATGAAAGCAAGAACAAATATTATTTCTGCACTCCTGGAACTTACAGTCTCAAGGAGTAACATGAACAATAAATATAGACACACACCCAAAAGGGCTGGTATATATGCATTAAGTTTGCCCTTACTGTTCCCTCACTTGAAACAACCCTAGCAGTGATTCTACCTGTATCCAACCCCACCCGCAGAAAAACCACAGAACCACAGACTTTGACATTGTAAATCACTGTGTTAGGTGCTGGAAGAGAATTAAACTCCACAATACTTTTTCCAAAGCTAATTAATTAATCATTAACAGATATGTAAAGCAATCTAGGTAGAGATCAGGAGACATAAGTAGAGTCCCAAATCCAGGCCCAGCTACGAAATTTGTTAAGTACTGGAGCAAAATAAAAAATGTATGGCCTCTTGTTTAAAATGACTAAGAATTTCAAGGCAATGACAACAAAACATTTAAACTAAGCCTAGGGCCCTCTGTGACTTAACTGGTCACACACCCATGAACTCTTCCAGGCATCCATACTTATTGGATGTGCAACCGTTAGCCAGTCACTTAACTAATTTCAGGTTCCTTACAGATGCAAAATTAAGGGAAGGAAAAAAAACTTCAGCTCTTCCCATAACTAACATTTGTGTTTCGCTGTTAAGGAGACAGATCATTTACAGAGAATTCTTTTACCATGTTATGTAATCATTAAAATTCTGACTGTGACTCAAAGCTAGTGTTGAAAACCCATACATAGTATTTCACTTTCACACACTTCTTTAATTTTGCCTAAGAGAAAAAAAAATCTCCAAAGCAGTATTCTAAGTTTATTATTTTCCCATGTATGCCATTTAAATATGAAATACCCAACTGAGGTCTCTGTCTATAGAGTAATTTTCTTTACAGTAAAATGTTTACTTGTACAAATTAAATATTTTTTTTGTATCCCTAAAAAATTACCTACTCAGAATCAGCTTCACATATGGTACAGCAACTTGGTATGCTCTAGTTAAAAAGAGGCAAATGTCCATTTGAAAGAGAGTTAACACTTTTTTAAAAAATATATTTTATTGATTTTTTACAGAGAGGAAGAGAGAGAGATAGAGAGTTAGAAACATCGATGAGAGAGAAACATCGATCAGCCACCTCCTGCACATCTCCTACTGGGGATGTGCCAGCAACCCAGGTACATGCCCTTGACCGGAATCGTACCTGGGACCTTTCAGTCCGCAGGCCGACGCTCTGTCCACTGAGCCAAACCGGTTTCGGCAAGAGTTAACACTTTTATTCCTTTAGTTTAGTATTTAGCATAACATAACTGATAGCTATCTAAACCAGGGGTTCTTAATCTAGAGTCCATGGAAAGAATTCTGGGACCTAATTAACCTGAATGGAAAAAAATATATATTTCCTGGCTGGTGTTGCTCATTGGTGAGTGTCAACCCATGGACCAAGAGATCACCAGTTCAATTCCCCAGTCAGGGCACATGCCCAGGTTGCAGGCTCAGTCCCCAGTAGGGAGCATGTAGGAGGCAGCCATTCGATGTTTCCCTCTCATCAACTTTCTATCTCTCTATCCCACTCCCTAACATTCTCTCTAAAATCAATAAAAACATATTTTAAAATATTTTTAATAAAAGAAAAAAGCATATCTTTATTTTCATCAAACTCTAAACAAAATTTAGCATTTTCTTCAATTATGAATATAGGTAACAAATCAACAAACACAGGACAGGTACCATAGTAGTACCTATGACTTGATCACTAATAAATAATATACACATTTTCATACCATATTATAGTTATTGCATCTATTTTAAATGTTGTTTATGCTCAATACCTCAAATGACAATAGTTATTGGACTCACTATTAGATCTTGTGGTTTAATGTAAATGGTATAACACATTAATGTATACAGTATGAATTATAAATGATACAGCAAAAATTTGTTTTTACATTGAAACAACTACATTTCAATATAATTGGCTTCCTTTGTACACCTACCTATATCATTTTATATATTTAAAAACATAATTCTGAGAAAATGTCTACAGGCTTCACCAGAATACCCAAAGGGTCCGAAGTACAAAGAAGGTGAAGAAATCTTGGTCAAAATAAGTTACAGAGCTCATCTATATATATAAAAGCCTAAGTGACCGACCAACTGACCGACTGAACAACCGAACGACCAGTTGGTAGGTCACTATGACACGCACTGACCACCAGGGGGCAGACGCTCAATGCAGGAGCTGCCCCCTGGTGGTCAGTGTGCTCCCACAGTTAACCTCCCACAGCCAGCAAACCTCCCGCGATCCCCCCCCAGCCAGCCAGCCCTGATAAGCTCCGATCGGGTTGGCTGGCCAACCTCCCACGGTCCCTCCCCCCAGCCAACCTTCCATGGCCCCGATCAGCCCCAATCGTCAGCCAGGCCAAGGGACCCCCCAACCGTGCACAAATTCATGCACCAGGCCTCTAGTGAAACAATAAAATAGAAACACTTATACTCTTGTAGTAGATCTATTACAATAAAAACCGTCTCTAAAATCTAGTTCAGTGGCAATGTCTACATACAACAAAATTTTTGTGGTTATTTTAATATGACAACAATTAAATACATCAAAACAAAACAGCTTTTTGTTTTTTTCTGTTTTGTTTTCTGTTTTTCCAGATGTGATCACTGTGTGTAGTATGAAAAAGTATAACCCAGATACATGCTTTTACTACATTATCTAAAATGTTATTTGGATTGGTACCTGAGATGACAGTAGGTTACAATCAATGAACAGTCCTTTTCCAGTTTTATATCTTTGTATCAATCCAGCCATAATGGCTCCATATGCATACAGGCCAGTGGCAAGATCAGTCATGGCCACTCCTGGACGAACTGGATCTCCGTCCTGATTTAAGAGTTGGGTTGAGAAAAACAGAGACAATTGAGAATTAAAACCATCATATGATTTCTCAAGTATTCTAAGGTCAAAGAGAAGAAAAAGTTGTATATGCAAACACACACTAAAGAAATACAACAAACTACTATAGATATCTGTTGGTGGTAAGAATATATTTATATTTACTGTATATTTGCTGAATTTCTTGCCCTATCCCCTACCAACCAAAGCCAAACCAAATAAAATAAAATTTGTAAACATGTCTTAAGTTCTTTTTTATATATTTTACCTTGTTTATATTTTACTAAATTTTAATTCTAAAAATTATTAGTAGAATGACTTATTTTTTTATAGTCTCTTAGAAACTGCATTAAATGTATTTATCTCTTTTAATACATTAACAAAACTCTTTTGTAAGAACAATCTTTGGTGATTTTCCTGTAAAACTAAGGCATCAGAAAAGGAAAATTTTACTCAAGACTTACGATATACAATTACAGTGGAAGGAAAAAGTATAAAATAAAATATTAAGAGTCTTCTCAATTACTCACTTTTCATATTCATTCATGTGTTTCTCCACAGTCATTATTATCAATGTTATTTTCTTATACTCCTTCATTCCCCTATTTATCCATGTATTCAAAAACTCATTAAAAGTAAAGCCTGAACATTACTTAGAAAACTACTGAAATCTGAATAAAGTGTGGAGTTTAGTTAATAATTTTGTACCAGTGTTAATTTCTTAGTTTTGATCATTCATTGTACTATGGTTTTGTAGTGTTAATATTACAAAATGGTGAAGGATATACAGTATAGGGTAATGATGAAGGTTATGAATTAAGAGTATTGGAATCTTCTGTACCATTTTTGTAACTTTTCTGTAAGTATAAAACTTTTAAAAATAAAAATGTTGAAAAGTAAAACCTGAAGTATTTCTTTAAAAATAAAATATGATAATTTTGAGATGGCAGAAATCTTATAGTGTTTTTTATTTTTAAAAAATAATAGCAGCTAGTCCACCTGGAGTGGCTCAGTTGGTTGAGTGTTGTCCTGGGCAACGAAAGGTTGCCAGCTCAATTCATGGTCAGAGCACATACTTGGGTTGAGGCTTGGCTCCCCGGTTGGGGCACATTCAGAACGCAACTGACCAATGTTTCTCTCTCACATAGATGTTTCTCTCTATGTATCTATCTTTCTCTCTCTATTTATCTTCCTCTCTTTCTCTCTCTCTCTCCCTTCCTCTCTCTAAAGCATGTCCTTGGGTAAAGATAAAAAATAATAATGATAATAATGCAAGCTGGAAAATAAGAGGGAAAAAACAGGAGAGAAAATACTTGTAAAGTTTTTGTTTCCTTCGTATCACAATATCCTAAATTATAAAATTAAGAATTTTAAAAAGATTATTTTCCAGACACAATTTAAGACTATTTAACATTTTCATTCATTTTCCCATGTCTGTTTCCCTACTTTGTCTGCCCAATGAACTAGATTGTAGAAAAGGAAGGAAAGGAGGGAGAAAGAATGAAAAGTCATCTGTTTTCTAAGTTATCTATAATAATAAAAGCATAATATGCTAATTAGACCGGACGACCTTCCAGACGAAACTGCAGCAGAGGCAGCCTTGCCGCGGGAGGGGGCCAAGACAGAGATGGCCACCACGGCAGGCGGGGGCCAAGACCCTTGCACAAATTTCGTGCATCAGGCCTCTAGTTATTTATAATCTTGTTTTGGTTTTTAAAAGATGTATGCAATAAAATGTAATAAATTCTGGCAGATAATTCAATTAGGAGGCATGAATTTGAAAAGTCACCAAGCGTTTTTCTCCTTAGTCTTATTACTCAGCCTAATTACTTATAAAACAACAAAAATGTTAAAACTTTCTTTTTTAAGTAGTTTCATTTTCAAAATAAATAATTATTCTTAAATGTATCTGTGTCTATAAGTCATACATTTATTTCGTACTGAGTCATTCATTATACTACTGTAATCTACAGAAAATATTGTTTTTACCTGGGAGCACATTAATTTTTTTAATGACCTATTTTCTAAAATATGAATTCTTCCACCATTTGCTAACTTCAATACTTTTGGAAAAGTCCTGGCCTTTCTTAGTTTTTTCTCAATTATTCAATGAGGGTAATGATAAAATCTACCTCATTGGTAGATATGAGAATTATATAACAAAAGATGCATCAAAGCACTTTATGAATATAAAAGGCTACAAAAATGGGACTTTTTAAAAGACTCTTGGTGTGATGCTAGGAGACTCATAAAATAATTTGGCAATAGTTCAGAGGGGGAGAGAGAAGATGAGAACCTCAATCAAGGACAGAGAAAGGAGGATGGATGGATTGAAGAGATACGTAGAAATTTGAATTCTTAGACTTTGATTATTGGCTGAGTAGAGTCAGGATTAAAAATGAAATTAGCCCTGACTGGTTTGTCTCAGTGGAGAGAGCATCAGCCTGCAGACTCAAGGGTCCCAGGTTCGATTCCGGTCAAGGGCATGTACCTTGATTGCGGGTTCATTCCCAGTGGGGAGTGCGCAGGAGGCAGCTGATAGATGTTTCTCTCTCATCGATGTTTCTAACTCTCTATCCCTCTCCCTTCCTCTCTGTAAAAAAGCAATAAAATATATTTTAAAAATGAAATTAATTTGGAAAAACAATCAACAGAAAATTAAGTTTCCAAGGTAATATTTTGACTATGAAAACCACTGTAAGTATTATTTACAGTCCTGATTAGTAGGAAAAACTTATTTAGAAGTACAAAGAACAACATGGAGAACAAAAAGTGGCACGTTCATATCAAATGGGGATTTCAGTGCACATGAACACAGTCACCACAGTCTCTGCCTCCACAGTTCATAAGAACAAACTCTGAATTATTTCAGTATATGAATCTTCTATTCTAAACACACACTCTACTCAAATTACTCACTGAAGTTAAAATTATGCTTTTAACACAGTCACAAAATTAATTTTCATAAAGTATTCTTTCCCTTACATGAAGGAAATCCCACTTAATAGTTGAAACACTGAACCGAGAGCTATAGAATCCACTCCTAAGCAGCTTCACTTCCTTGCCTATAAATAGGCATTTGAATTAGACTTCAGCGTGGTTTTTTCATATAATTCAGGTGATGCCTCCACCATCAGTTCACAACTTTATCACTACCAATTAAAAATATATATTTTTCCGCCTGGCCAGTGTGGCTCAGTGGTTGAGCATCAACCTGTGAACCAGGAGGTCACGGTTCAATTCGCAGTCAGGGCACATGTCCAGGCTGCGGGCTCAGTCCCAGTGTGGGGTGTGCAGGAGGCAACTAATTGTGATCCTCTTTCATCATGGATGTTTCTATCTCTCTCCCTCTTCCTTCCTCTCTAAAATCAATAAAAATATTTTAAAATAAAAATAAAAATGTATTTTTCCCTATTTTACAGAAGTGAAAACTGAAGTCAGACAACTTATCTAATGTTACACTGAATGACAAAATGAAAGTTCAAATTCTGGTTTTCCGATTCCCAAGACTGTTCAATGAAGACATTAAATAGGTCACCAATGAAGATAATAAAGATAATGACAGGAACTGGACTTAACAAAAAAACTGTGAGGGTTAAAGTTCCCAGATAACATAGCAGGGGAGAGACAAGCCCAGGATGACTGAAGCTGAGTCTGGGAAAGAGAGGGTCCGTGCGCAGATTTTAGAAGTGGAGTGAGTGTTGGCATACGGTTATAAAACCACAGACTAGATGTGAGGTTGGAGAGCAAGAAGTGACAAGTAGTGACACTGTCCCTACCCTAGAAGTTGCAGGTTTAATAACCAAGTATGAGCACCTCCAAATGAGAGGAATTTGAAGTAAGTAAATATTATCCATGCATAATCTGGATATTTCAAAACAATGTGCCCAATGTACACTCCCTTTCTATATTGGTATTCATGTGTACTTAAAAGTCCTTTTTTGTCCTATTGATAGTGTTGTAATTAACCTAATCCTATATAATAAAAGCCCAGCAACCTAACGGTGGAATGACCAGAACGACTGGTCAACCAGCTGCTATGACGTGCACTGACCACCAGAGGGCACAGACACTCAACACAGGAGCTGTCCCCTGGTGGTCAGTGAGCTACCACAGTGCGAGCACTGCTCAGCTGACTGGGATGAGCAGCTGCTCTCGCTGCAAACCCCACGGCTGACAGGGAGAAGCCCAAGCTGCAATCCTCCCCTCCTCACCCCAGGCTCCTCCTCCTCACTCCCTGTAGCCTCCTCCGAACGCCCACAGGCAGTACAGCGCCGCTGCTGAGTTCACAGAGCTGACACCGGAGGCTGGGAGGCGGGTTCATGGCCACCTTGGGACTGAGGCCTACTCCGCCGCCTCTCAGTGCTATTGTCCCTGGGCCCAGCCCCAACCAGGTCCCCTGGAGAGGCAAGTGCTCTGGCTCCACAGAAGATGCCAGACCAGGGAGCAGCCGCTCAGCTGACTGGGTTCAGCGGCACTCCCACAGCTGGCCGATCTCTGCAGGCCACGCCCCCCACCAGTGCACGAATCCCATGCACCAGCCCTCTAGTTATTAATAACAGGAAAGGAGCAAAGAGAAGGCCAAATAGTATAGGCATGTCATTTAGGCAGCTTCACCAGGAAGCTAAAGCTTTACACTCCCCAGGAACCAGTAGTGTATTCCCCACAGATTCCTGGGGGAAGGGACTGGACATTTCGGGGAGAGGGGACTAGCAAAGATGCTTGCTGTCAGCAACACCTGTGAACATAGGTCATTGGCCAGAATGGGCGTGGCCACAGCAAATGTGCAAAGATTTGAGATATTTAATCCCCTAAACAAGGAGTTTGAGCTCTTGGTTCTTCTCGGCACACTTGGCTCCTGGCTTAGGCTTAGCTTCCTGCGTTCAACCACAGGACCCACCCCAGGTGCACCCCCACCACAATGGACTAATGGGCTGCAAAGAGTCAAATGTTGAACTGGACCTGGCTGCAACATGGAACGGAAACGCTGGACAGACTTTGCTTTTAGCTCTACTGGATCCCCAGCTGCACTTCTTCCAAGTCTGGAATTCAGGGAAATGGGGCTTTGAAAACCCTGGGATGTAAACAAATAAAAATCACTCATCCTCCTGTGGGAGTCTCAGAAAATTATTTTCCTCAAGATATCGTAAGAACACCACCCCCAACACTCAGTGGGGAAAGGGATACCCCACTTCCACCGATAACAAATTCAACATTTAAATAAGCTGAGTGCTGGTGTGGTGTCCTTAAGGTATCTCGAGAAAAGGTATACTAAAGGAGCCACAGTAATCCTTCACCTACCTCAGTTGTTTTTGTGTTAATCCATTTTAATTTTTGAATATACAAATTTAAAAATCCAAGATCCTTTCACATATTCACAATTGAGTTCAGTGCTTTTAAATAAGACCACTCACAATCATGCCTTATACATAAAAGAACTTTAATAACATAAGAGTAAAGAGCGAGATATCCATCCTCTATTCTCACAAGGGATAGAAAGAAAATCAGTGCACTTAAATATTTTAAGGAAAGGCCATACACATTTTTTCTAAGACTGGTGAAAATAAAACAGATAAGAAGAATACAAAAGACCTTATAGTTAAAGTCACTAATATCCTAGTGCCTGCTTTAAAATTAATAGAAAGAAGTAGACGGTAAAAAAAAAAAAAAGAAGAAGAAGAAGAAGAAGAAGACAAAGGCACTCTGCCTATTTATCCTAACACTAAGCAATACTTTCTGAAGAATTAACTGAAGCAAGTAATTCAGGGAAGAAACACCTACTAGAAACAGTTTTTTAAGACTATCAATCTATTTTGTTTTGGAAATGAATGTCTTTTAGTATTTCTATTTACTAGGCTTTCATACCTTTTTTTTAACTTTAATTACTTTCTTATTATTTTCCCCAAATGTGCATTTTCTAAGAGTCTGCTCTAACCAAGCACCTTTTGGCCACCTATATACCTTTTAGGAACTTCCCTACCTGTCATCAACGAAGAAGGATTACTATGAAATCAAATTAACTTTTTCACTGTCAGAATCTAATGCACATAACAATCAGACACAACTACACCTGAGGCATTATTAATAAGTTTTAAAATAAATAACAACTTACATTATTCCAGAGGGAAAAAGAAACCCTCCACTATGTACACATGCCAAGTGAAGGCACTCTGCAGAAATGGACATCTGTGCACCAGTCTAGTCAGCCATTCTATTTAACAGAAATACTATTCCTAAATTGCATGAAGGTGCTTATGTTGAACTTGAAGAACATAATACATATGCCACATGTGTTTACACTCTATTGCTTCTTGCTAAAAAGAGTGTTATTTTCTATGAGGCCATATTCACATCTAGGGGATATAGATAACTTTCGTAAGTCATTCGCTTTCCTTGGATTCTTTCTAAAATTAACTCAAGTTTAATGGGTTAGTAAAGACTGAAAATCCTTTTGGAACACCTGGTGAAAAATTATGAATAATCTTAAGAAGGATACCTACCTCAGGCCCTGTGATATGCATCAGACCAGAGACAGCAGAGGCCACAGCATCATAACCAGCTCGCTGAGACAGTGGACCTGTCTGGCCGTACCCTAACACAATGAGAACAGACACATTCAGCACCACTTAAGGAGAGCAGTAGTACAATGGTGCGTTTAAAACCATTTGTATGCAGAAATCCTGCAGCATCCTGTTACTATTACCGTCAACACAATCCCTTGAAGAAGGGAGTAAAAATTAATCATGGGGTTGTACCCCAGAAGGTAGCAAACTGGTGACTATACACCTGCACGAATGTTTTAGTCAAGTCTAGTCTGAAGAGTGTTTTCAAATCTTTTTATTTAGAACATTTAAAAATCAGAAGTTAGCACAAAAAATAAAAATTTCTGGCATTGCCAGAAACCAATTCCAGCATGTTCAGCAGGGCTGAATCATCTGGAGTGGCAAGGGCATTTCTCCAAACCTGAATAGGATACATTAAACTGATTTCTTGACTGCCAGACAGCTAAAGGGCATCTAATCTACATGTTATTGCCTCCTACAGGCCAAACACCTGAACAGCCGTAGGCTAATTCCCCCATTCTGACAATGGACTCTGTACCAAACCCTGACCCTTTGAAGTGTATATCTCTGCCTCGCCTCAGGACAAGTTGTGTTAATAAAAAGCATGGGGTCCTGGGAAGAGGAAACCTTAGAATTTAGAACTTAGATCTTAGTTTCCTTTAAGCCAGCAGTTCTCAACCTGTGGGTCATGACCCCTTTCACAGGGGTCGCCTAAGACCATCGGAAAACACATAAATAATTACATATTGTTTTTGTGATTAATCACTATGCTTTAATTATGTTCAATTTGTCACAATGAAATTGGGGGTCACCACAACATGAGGAACTGTATTAAAGGGTTGCGGCACTAGGAAGGTTGAGAACCACTGCTTTAAGCTAAGCTCCTCTGACCCCCAAATGCCTTTCAAAATTATCTTTCATTTCTGGACTCCTATTTAATCTACGCACAGCCTTCTCCAGATTGCTGAGCCCTTCTTAATGCTGGAACAAGAACCCCTGCAGGCATTTTTTGAAAAATCAGAAAATAAAAACTAGGCCCATGTTCTCACATGGCAACAATAAGAGTTAAGTAATAGCTCTTCCCCTTTACACAGGGCATAAATTCTCCAATTTGCCAGTCTCCACCACCACTCACCCCTTTATGCCTCAGCCTGTTTCATTCATTTAACTTACCTTCCAGACTCCAACAGGTATTTGCTATTCTTGTTCTATACAAAGCAATATACAAAGTGGAAAAAAAAATGTCTCCCTAGGTTCTGTTTGCATATTATCTCAAGTATATAAAAAATATATAAATAATTAAAAACCTGAGCATGAATAAAATGATAACATCTCCTAACAGTGAATTTTATGTTACAAAGAGACTGAAAAGGTATCACTTTTTTTTTTTTTTTTTTTGCCATCAGCTAAAACACAAAAAATATTTTATCCTGCTCTCCTCAGTCCTTGTGCTTACTGTGGAATAACAAAGGTTATATTCGGAGATACATGAATCTGTTTCCAAATCCCATGTGTCAATCAGAAAGTGGCCAGATGAAGAACCTTTCATAGCCATCAGCTCTTGGCTGAAATTCCTTGCATACTCTACTTCAGAAAGATCAGGAAAGAAGTGTCTCGAGGTCCTTGCTTGCTTCTCTAGCCACCTGGAACACGCTCCCTCTTTCAGTCCTTACATCCACATAACTCTCTCCCTCGCATCCTCCAAGTCAGCACTCAAACAATTTCTTACCAAAGGGACCTTCCCTAGCGAATGTTAATGAAAGAACACTCTTACTCCTCACTCTTTATCACCCTTACCTGATTATATTTGTCTTGATAGCCTTTATCACCACAAGATATATAACATATTTTTTATTGATTTATTTTGTCTCCTCCCTACTAAAATGTATATAGGATTTTTTCTATTCAACTCACTGTTGTATGCCCAGCATCTAGAATAGAATCCAATAACACTTATTGCATGAATGAATGAATGACTGCTGGTTATATAAAAGATATTATTTCCAAAACACAAATAATCCATAAAAAGTAAATTAATAAAGAAAACAACAGGATTTTTTTCTATTTTGTTTTGTTTTGTAATTGACCAAATGGAAACATAGAAGGTCATTTTCCTTCTCTCCTGGACACACTGAATGTACAGCTACATGTGGAGCTTCACTCTGAGAGAAATCCACAAACCAGTTGAATGATTCCTAAATATTGGACAGGAGAGAATACCCACATCGAAATTGGTAGGAAAGGCTGAGACATACTCTTGTCATAAGGTCCACTCTAGGCACAGTGATAAACAATTAGGATGGAACCCCGAACTCCCAGCTTCTCCCTGAGGAGCAAAGGGTTTCAACAGCACAGTAAATGCCCCAATTTTTAAACTCCCACCTGAGGGGTGGGCCCCCAAACAAGTAGCTCTGATAGCTAGCAGAGTTCAGGCCCACAGACTTGTAGCAAACAAAGTTGTTGATGCAGAGGAACCCTAACCACAGCTACCCCTACAGGGCTCAGAACAGACAAAAAAAAGTCTGCCTCCTGGTCTCTCCTTCCCTGGAAAGAGTGTAACTGCATACTTTATAAGATGTTACCTGAGAGTCTAGTAATTAATACACTTCTAGAGGCTGACTGTGATCCCACCTGGAACCAAAAAGAACCTGTGGGCACATCCCCCACTTTCTCTCTCCAGCTAACGCCAACAATAAAACCAACTCACCAGACTCTCTGGAAGGAACTTCTACTAGTATACTTGTCTCATGCCCCAATTTTTGTAGCTACTTCTTGAGGGATGGGCCCCTGGATCACCTGGCTAGACTGCCAGCCAAGCTTTCATGGGTCCCACAGGACTGTAGTAAACAAACAGGCAGGGTTTTTTAAAGGCTAAGGAGCACCCCCCACAGCTATATGCCCAGGCTCAATGCAGAAGGGTTGCAAGCTTTCACAGTTGTTGCCTGGGGCCCAGCTTCTAATCAGCCTACATCTAGGTGCTGACAGCAACCATTCCCTTTGGGACATTAATGGGTCTTCTCACACCCTCAACTACTGAGAGGCAACAAAGAGAGTGTCTTGGGCAATTACACAGGCTTCAGAGGCACCCAGGAGCTCAGGCTGGGCTCATCCACAAGATTCATCTCCTACACAAGGTCAGTCTGTAAAGACTGAAAGAGGTAGCTGTTTCAGCTAATATGTGAAAACCAACACAGACACTCGAGGAAGATGAAGAAACAAGGCAAAAACATATAACAGACACACAGAAGATAAAGAGACAGAAATCTAAACATACAACTACAGAAAATCATCAAATCACAAAGAAAAAAATGGAGAAAAGAAATTACAAAACAACCAGAAAACAATTAAAATGATAATAGTAAGTCCATGATTGCTATCAATAATCACTTTAAATGTAAATGAACAAAATTCTCCCATCAAGACACTGAATATCGGAATGGATAAAACAAACAAGACCCAACTACATGCTTCCTACAAGAAACTCACTTTAGCTTTAAGGACACAGATTGAAAGTGAAGTGATAAAAAAATATATATTCCATGCAAATGGCAACCAAAACAAAGCAGGGATAGCTATACTTATCAGATAAAATATACTTTAAGATAAAGATGGTCATTATATAATAATAAAGGGGTCAATCTAACAAGAAGACATAACATTTATAACTTTTTAAGCACACAACATAGAAGCATATAAATATATAAAACAAATATTAACAGAAATGCAGGGGAAAATACAGCAATACAATAATAGTAGGGGACTATAATATTCCACTTTCAATAATGGCCAGATCATCCAAGACATAATATCAATAAGAAAATATTGCTGTCAAACCTCAGAGGGAAGGCAAGAGAGGGTGGGCAGGTGGGAAGAAATGAACCAATGAACTTGTATGCATATAAGCATAACCAATGGACACAGACAATAGGGGGGTGAAGGCCTGGGCTGGGAGAGGTCAAGGCGGGGAAAGGGGGACATATGTAATACTTTCAACAATAAAGAATTAATTTTTAAAAAAGAAAAGAAAATACTGGACTTAAACTACACATTTAACCAGATGTATCAATACTTTTTAAACTCTTCCAAAAAACAGACAAGAGCCCTAACCGGTTTGGCTCAGCGGATAGAGCGTCAGCCTGAGGACTCAAGGGTCCCAGGTTCAATTCCGGTCAAGGGCATGTACCTTGGTTGCGGGCACATCCCCAGTGGGAAGTGTGCAGGAGGCAGCTGACCGATGTTTCTCTCATATCGATATTTCTAACTCTCTATCCCTCTCCCTTCCTCTCTGTAAAAAATCAATAAAATATATTTTTTTAAAAAATAGACAAGAAAGGACATAGAAGAAAACCAAGGTGGCGGCATAGGTAAACACCGGAGTTTGCTGCCTCGAACAACCACATCAAAAATACAACTAAAAGACGGAACGGACATCATCCAGAACCACAGGAAGGCTGGCTGAGTGGAAGTTCTACAACTAGGAGGAAAGAGAAAAACATACCGAGACTCAGAGGAGGCGCAGTGCTGAAGTAAAATACTAAGGTGCGGAGGTGCATGCGGAGCGGGCTGGCGGCTGAGCGCGCGGTTGTCGTTTTCAATCGGGAGGGAGTCTCAGGCTCTGAGCTCCAGTTCCGGGGAGTCTCTAGGGACCCAGACTCATATGGGAGAAGCAGGACTGTCTGGCATCACTCAGAACTCTAGGGCAGCTTTCTCTCCAAGGGGCTTGCAGCGATTAGAAAAGCAAAATGAGATATGAAGGGGGCATGAAGGGAATGAAGTACAAGTCAACAGTCTCCATGCAGAAATGAGCGTCAAGTGTGAGGAGTGAATTTATATTCCAGGACAGCTAGTTCACAGCTGAAAGGGCACCCTAGACCATGCTGCCAGCCTTGAAGCCCTGGTATCCCCAGCATAAAACAGGCCTCCAGGAGCAGAGAGAAACTCTGCCATAAGGCAGGAACACTGTGTGTGTGTGTGTGTGTGTGTGTGTGTGTGTGTGTGTGTGTGCGTGCGCGCGCGCGTTCTCTTTAAA